AAATTGGAGTATATATATATATATATGTATGCATTTTCATACTGTTGCGTTTACAAAAATTTGACATTTTCTTCTTTCGCGACTTTTGCTGCCTGCTTTGACATTACACACATATATTTTTTGTTCTGTTCTATGTTTTGTTTTTCTCTTTTTTGATGATCTTTAAATCGATCGATGGGTTCTCTTCAAAGCCTGTCTCTATATATAGAACTGCTCTACTGCTGCTTCATCTTCATCATCTTTTGTGCATCCGTTTTAAACCATAACGAAGGCATCTTTGCCACAGAATAGATATGGAAATTGATCGATCATCGTCTGAACAATGTCCTCGAGATATGGACGCAACTGTTCAAAATGGCCCATATCCGTAAAATCAATGGGTATCAATGTGGGCCACCAGCAAATTGCCAAATTTTTGCTATCCATGCTATTTAGCTTCGAGTTGTCCGAGACGCTGCAATAATAAAGAGAAACACATCAGAAATCCATAATAGAATCTTTATAAAGGCATCGTGACTTACTGCACAAAGTGCTGGAATATGTATTTGAGAATGGCGAAATTGATGGGTGGTAGTTTTTGTAGCAAGGACTTTAAAGCTATCAAACGGCAGCTGCGATCCGTTTTCACCTCAACATTCAGCTTGGAGGAGCCAACACCACGAGAGCCTGGAGAAATTAAATTATAGATAAAACATATTCATATTTCGATTCAAGGGCTGCTAGACTGACCGGCAATTTCCTCCAACTCCTTGATAATATCCTTGCTGAACAGCGGTGGTAAGCGCTTCGAAAAGAAGTCCTTGAGCGCGGTGGCCACCGCATTTACCGGTATATCCAACACATCAATAATTGTATTGGTATCTAACATCAAGAATAATATACATTAGCTTCTCAGTATTTATATATAAATATATTTAATCCTTTTACCATCTTCAAAACGCTGGAATAGCATGTCGACATGTGCTCGACTGCCTGGCACACGATAGATGCCCTCGGAATCGAGTCCTTCCTTCTCAATGAATTCAACGCATTTGATCAGGAATATGGGTATCTCGTCCTTATCGGATGTGATCATTAGCTTGCCAAATTGGGCTTCAGTTGTTTCGGTTAGTCCTTTGGCATTCTGTTTGAGCTTACGCTTGAGCTTCTTCTCCTGCTCTTTCTCCTTCTCCTGCAGCTTGCGCAGTCGTGCCTGCTCCTCCTTGATGCGTCGCTTCTCCAGCTTCTCGAAATCCTTTAAGCATTTCGCATTCATATTGTATTCGGGCAAATTCTCAGCACCAAATATACTGACTGCAGTTAGTTCCGGCACCATGGAATACTAAGCGAATCGGAATTTATATAGATATAGTATATATTCGATTAGGCAAATCATTGAGTAGTCTTACCTCTGGCGATTTGTCGCTTTTCATGAATTCGGGTACCCCACTAGAATCGGCTTTTTCTAAAAGCAGAAACATGGGTTAATATACAGAGTCTTACAATGGTTAAGGTCAATGTTAACCGACTACTAGTTGAAGCATAATTCTGAACTGAAGAAACTAAGCCCATAAAAAGTCTCATACATGTTAACATGTTTACATTTAAGATACAAAAATAAAGTAAATTCCAAGGCAACTAAATAATACACACACACACACACACATAGACCATGCTTACATAGTGTTATAGGGCGCATGTTAATAATATACTTATTCTTAAAGACTTCTAAAAATTGTTAGTTGTTTTAGCATTTGCCTGAACCGAAGTGCAACTCGAAAAAGAAATGCAAATAATAAAGCACGACACATACTTTTCTCACCTGCAGCCGCAGCAGCGGCCATACGCTGATAGTGTAACGGTATCTCCGGTGGACTGACATACGCACCAAATGGTGGCACACGTGGCGTCTGCACCGGTATRGCCACCTTCTTCTTCTTGTTCTTCTTGGTGGTGGTGCCGGCCTTTTTGTTGGCCTTGTAGTAGGCATTCTGTTGACGTACGCGGCGCTCCGTTGAACTGGCGCAACTATCCGACTCGGTGCAGTCTGCTGGAGAAAGAAGAAGGTAGAGAATGCATTAGATTCAAGTTCGCATTATGGTTTCTATCCCATATTTTCATATAAAATAGGTGTTTTAGTCTATATATATATATGTATATATATACATTTCTCAACTAAAGCAACATAATCTATTGTAGAGACACTGATTAGAGCCCCAAATCGAATCGTTTTTACAGTATAGAATTTACAGCTCATGCACTTGACTTATTAAGAACATATAATCGTATCCTTCAGAGACCCACTACTGGACAGACAAATAAATCCCTTACATCGTCAGTTAATTAGCGTCGTTAGGGGTGTGGTAACAAGTTACGCCCGTATACAATGTTCTACAGGGTATCAGTTAAACCTTATTACAATGTACCGGTGGCAGTAGTTCTTCTTTTTTTCTTCATCTTCTTCCTCCTCCTCTATATCTTCTTCTTAAACGCACCTTCATTTTCATAAATTTGCTCGTATTCGGCAAGCTCCTCGGAGTCCTCATCCTCGCCATCGAGTTGAGCATGATCATAGCGCTTGGCATCCTTGTCACCACCGGGTTCACAACCAGCCAAATAGGATTCTCCCATGCTGCCGCTGCTGGTGAAATTCATTTTGGCGACGGCATCGCTAACAAGCTGAAAGTTCTTCATATTCAGCTTGCCCGGTTGCTGTGTGGGTAGCGTGAAAGTTGAAGAGCTCATGGCACAGTTACGACTGGGCGCTTCACCCACCTTCAACGTTTGGCTGGGTCCTTTGGGCCGTATCTTATTCAAGTTGGAATCGATATGCCGCCTGCCTGTGGTATACGCATGCGTTGAGCCGCTAAAATTATTCCAGATGGAGTTCTTGTTTGCATTGCGACGTGCATCGCTTTTATCGTCCAGCCATTCTGTAAATTATGCAAACCATTTTTGTAAAGTTTTTTTTTCTGGTAAAATAATGTTAACATTAAGGTAAAGCTAAAAGGCGAGCGAGGCAGAAATTTACAGAGCTCTCTAAAGCCTGTATTTAGGGAATTGGGGATCACTAAAGATCGTGCAAAAGATTTTCATTTATTTACTTTTTATTTTTATTTATTTTTTGCTTGTTTTTATTTCTTTCAATTTCGATTAACTTCAACGTTCAATAGCGAATCGTGATCTACATATGTAGATCGTGCTGTTTATTCACGAGTTCGGTCATGAACGATACATTCCGATCGATAGTTAGTCGTGCATTTCATCGATACATTCTAACTGGTCATTGCTTAAACAACGAACACTAGCGCCTATTATTCGTATTGGTCATTCAGTTTTCGTTCATGAACAATTAAGCAATCCAATGGAATGTATAGTTCATGAACAAGCAAAAACAAAACAACAAATTATAATAATAAAATTTATGTACATATATCATTCATGACGTGAGTGAACTTGATTGTTTATTGATCTACTGAATAAGTGTAGCAGCTCATTTGAATGAGCCGTTTAAAAGTATTGGAACATTTAGTTAACCTGCGTCGTGGGTGGCCAATGAATCCTTTGACCCGCTGACATCCGCTGCTTATGAAATGCATGAGTAGAACAAAGAAATGCCCAAATAAGGCACGAAAGAAAAGGAAAATGGAAAAAACAACAAGAACAACGAAAATATAATATGCATCAAATGGCAGTAGTTAGAGCATGGTTTTCTTTTTCTTTTTTTTTAATTCAGCTAAGTTGAAATGGAATCAAAAGAAAATAAAATAAAATTGGAAACTATTGTTAATGTACGCAATATAAAGAAAAACTATATACAATTGAGGCCAAATAAAAATGTGGTAGTGTATTATATATATGCATACATATATATATATATATATATTCTTATGGATACTATATAATAGCTGCATAAGGTGAGAAAGGGGCAAAAGAAAACAAAGAAAAGCAAAGTTCGATCGAAGCCGAAGCTTGAATACCCTTACAGAAAGCATTTAAAAAACATATACCAAAATTATTTACAAAATTTGCATCTTCTCTATATATGTATGTGTTATTTACATCAATTTAAATATCTTTTAAATAGCTTTTTAATTTAGTCTAAATTTGCTTGGAATCAGACAAACTAAACAGCCTAATAATATAACTGAGAATAATCAGCTTTAGCTTTCTGTAAGTGCATTAAATGTTGATTAAATGAATGAAATTGTGGTTATGCGGGGTTTCTGTTTTTTTT